TATATATACATGCTTGCATTGATTTCTGTACGTATATTTATATAAGACTTAATGTTTGATTAAGTGTATGATTGGCTCTTAAATATAAATAGAAATGCATTGATTTTAGTACTAGTATAAATAAGAAAATGATATAGTTTTATAACTGTTTTTACAGAGGGGTTAGTATGTTCTAATACTATTTTCTAACGCTTTGTTTTGGTCCACTCACCCTTTTTAATGTTTTGAGCCCCCAGGCAGTAGTCGTGCATCAGTGCGCCACCACCGGGCCGAGTCCATCTTCCGCCACATTTCCTGACAACGTAGGGTCTTGTGTAATTATTTTACACCTTTAATCTTCTATGTAGAGCTCTGATATTGCCCTAGATTGCATGTCTGACTGTTGGAATGTAATTATTTGCATGCTGACAGTTGGTGTATATTTTATATGCATGTTTGACAGGTGTAATCTTGGGATTGGTTTAACTACGGGGGAGATCTTGCTGAATTTTTCAGCAAAAGTCAAACCCCAGTTTTAGTTGAAAGTTGACTACAAGGGCAATTAGGTCTTTGGTGCTCGGCACTTGCCAGGTGTCGGACACAAACAGGGTCCGGCTCGGATTCCAAAGTGGAATTTGGGTCGGGTCCTGTCAGTGGGTCTAGCATTAAATGTATTAGTTGCAGGAAACTGATGATTGAAAGAATTTCTATCACTTACTTGAGGTTGTGACTCATTGCTCCAATGAAAGTTTGGATGGTTTCTTGTTGCTGGATTGTAAGTGTTGGAAAAAGGAGAATACCGTTGTTTGAAGTTTCCAACAGCAGGACAACGCTCCTCATAAGCTCCTTTCATTTCCTGAAAAATTGGGCAATTTTTAACAGTATGACCAATCTCATAACAAGAATCACATACTTGATTAACATCAGCTTGAAAAACAGGTTGAGGCAAATTTGATTTTTCCGTTTTCAAAGCAGCAATCTCTTTAGTCAAAACCTCAAATTTTAATTTCCAATCATCTTCTTCTTTTAATTGATAAATTTCTTTATTAATAGAAGATGTGGCAATTCTTGACCGATCAGTGGTCTCAACTGGACTGGGGACAGTCCATTGATGAGCTTTTTCAGCAATTTCATACAAAAATTCTAGGGCATCATCAGGGTCTTTTTGCATAAATTTTCCATTACACATAGACTCAACAAATTGGCGATCATGGGGGAGAAGTCCCTCATAGATATAACTAGCAAGACGCCAGTTTTCAAAACCATGGCGTGGGCACAAATTCAAAAGCTCTTTAAATTTCCCAAGTTTGATATAAAGTTTCATTTTCCTTTTGAGAGAAATTTGAGATTCTTTTCTTAAGAGCAATCGTCTCGTGAATAGGAAAATATTTGTTAAAAAATGCTTGAGTCATTTCCCCCCAAGAACCTATGGACCTAGCCCTTAATGAATACAACCAACTTTTGCTTTTTCTTTTAAGGAAAACGGAAAAAATTTAAACCTTATGAAATTAATCATATCAAGTTGAACATTGTAAAAAGTGCCAATAGCCTCTTCAAATTCCCTAACATGCACATAAGGATTTTCACTTTCCATACCATGAAAAATGGGAAGCAGTTGAATCTTTCCAGGTTTGAAATCATAATTTGGCATGTTAGGTGGAAACATTATGCATGAAGGATTTGGTGCACGAGTAGGATGCAAAAATGTCTCTAAAGTTCTAGGTGCAACTACTTCTTCTCTTATGGGAATTTCATTATTCTCAATCTGAGCATTAATTTCTTGTTCATTATTCGCAATTTCTGCCATGCTTTCAGATTTGTTGGATATTTCAGTTGAAGAAGTTGAAGCAGAATGTTCTAAATTAACAGTTTCAAGCTTTTTAACAAATCTTCCTAGATGATCTCTAGGTCGCACAAATAAAATAAATAAATAAACAAAAACGAAACAAAACAAAACAAAAAAAATTATTAACAATAAGATGAAAGTTGGAAAGAGTGTACCATATGTGAAGAATTTCACATAACCAGCAAACCTCTGACCAAGGGGATCTCTGTACTCTTTGACAAGCCGCTCCCCGGCAACGGCGCCAATTTGTTCGCACCACTTTGCAAAACCCAAGGGAGGTGTCGTATAGCAGTGTAGCTCGGAAGTCCGAGTGTCGTATCCACAGAGAGCATAACCAGCAAACCTCTGACCAAGGGGATCTCAGTACTCTTTGACAAACCGCTCCCCGGCAACGGCTCCAATTTGTTCGCACCACTTTGCAAAACCCAAGGGAGGTGTCGTATAGCAGTGTAGCTCGGAAGTCCAAGTGTCGTATCCACAGAGAGCGGTGTAAAGATAACAGAGCTGAAAAAGAACAATTATGATTGAAAAGTAGATTTATGCAAGATTTTGATTTCAAGAAAATTCAATTGATTAAAACACTAAGGCATTGGGTTTCCACTTCTAACATAAGCATGCAACTCTTATTAATTTGATCCACAAAATATTTTCCAATGTAGTTGTTCAAAATAATTAAAGCTCTTTTTAATTTCCTTTAGAAGTATTCTAAGTATAACTTGTACCAATGGCAACAAACTATTAAAAAATAATCTTCGTTGAAATTCTATTAATCTTTAGTAATTCTCTTCTCTTTTAAAAGCATGAAAGTTTTTACTACACAATGGGAAAAACATGATTGAACCCATGAAATAGATTATCAAACATTCATCAATTAATTAAAAAGAAAACTACAAATTCCATTTGAACAAAAACTACAAATTCACATTAAAGCTTAAGTTTGGATCAAACTAATAAAAATTACACACTCATATTAAAAGCTTTCTCCCTAGCCTTAGCTAGGGAGTTAGTTCCCCATAATAAAATAAAACTAAAAACAGAAATTAAAACTTAGAAAGATGGAGGGAAGAGAGAAAGCTCAAGAGTTGTGGAGCTTGGGTGTGTGTTGAATGGTGTGGAGGATCTCTCTATTTATAGGAGAAGCTCATGTTGCAACCTTGCAATATGTCTTGAATAAATTATTATCCCATCATGCCATTCCCGTAGCTTTCTTCTTCTTTAATTCCTCAATTGATGCTCCACTTCCATTGTTTATTGCCATCATGATTCCATTTCCTTATCTCTTTCCTTTGGTGGCCAACCATCTCTCTCTTTGCATTCCTTTGGCATGCTGCACATGTGTTGCTGGAAAAACGAATTCTTCTGAACCAAGCTTGGTGTAGGAAGGCCTGAGGTTTCAATATGTATCCAATGGGGCTCAAATTTGGATATGTTATAATAGACACCCATTGGAACAACTTTCATGAAGCATGAATTCTCATCGGAGCAGTAAAAACGTGTGTTTTGGGGCTTGCAAGCTGACTGCCGAAAATGGACTGGAGTTTGGGCTTCATTTCTTTTCTCTCCTTGGGCTGCTGCACAAGAAATAGCTACCTAATAGAAAATTCAACTGAATTGGCCTTTATTTCAATGAAGTGCAAATGGATTTGTAAAATGTAATGTAACATTCTAATTGGTTCAAAATTCATTGAAACAAAGTACTAACAAATATAGATTATGGATAGAAATTGTAATAATTATGTGTTTATCACAAAACAACCAACTTTAACTTTTTATATTTTAGGATATGTTTATTTGCATATCATCCTTTATTTCTCACCGGGCCTACCTTTAAGAGCGGAAGCCCTAAGATATGTGGAGTGTGAAACTCATGTCCTACCCTTGTCTGTTTGATAAGGATAGTAGTATTCACATTTAAATTCATATGTATTAAATATGGTTGGTGAATGGGTAGCTTGGGAGATTGATGAACTAAAGTATGCTATTCTAATAGAAATCTTGATTTGTAAACTCATTCTATATTGGTTAGTGTTATAGGCATGTTGAAGCCAATTGGGAAGGAGCAGAGAACAAAACTGTTCTTGGGTGTTTTCGAAAATTCACTACTACAAAAAGGGCAATAGACGACGAGAATTTACCGTCATGTAGCTTGGTTTTCAAACCGTCATGAAATCGACATACATCTTTTGAAAAACACAACCACGACGGTAAATCCCCGACGTTGTTAAGACATACAACATCATGCCCAACTAAAAACTGATGTCTAAATATTGAAAATGAGCCAAAAAAATCCACTAGGATAAGAATAGACGACCCTTTTCAAAAATCAACGTCGTTTAAATATCGAAATATGACGTAGTTTAACAAAATACCGACGTAAAAAATAGATACCACGACATAAACTACTAACTTACCGCCGTCCCATGTCATTTTAATGGCAATAATTTAAAATAAATCGACGTTTTTAATACATATTCCGTGAAAATAAAATTATGACGGACCAAACATGACGTCGTTAGGATGTTACAATGTCGGAAAACATGTAAAGGGAGCCGTGTTTTAGAATATGCACGTCACTTACAACACGAAGACTGTTGTTTCAATGACCATAGACGGCTCAGTTTATTGGTCAATTTTCGTGTAGAAAGACTGTAACGACATGGGTTAAAAAGAAACGACGTGGTTATCATCTATATAACGTCATCTATGTAAAAGGACGACGTTCAAACTTCTTTTCACTTCGTCTACTTAACAACGGATGACATTATTAATATCTACTACGTCACCTTTATTTACACAATCGTCGTTAATAGAACTCTTTCCACTCCTGTGTTATATAAAACTTGACGTGGTAAAGAATTATTAACGGCAGTAAATATTTGAAGAACGAGGTTATAGTTCTCTTTTACGATGCATTTATTTCAAACAATGACGTGGTTATTTAGGTACAACGTCAAGACCAATATAAAGGCAGACGTGTTTAAGAATATACACATCACCTACAAGACCAGGACCGTCGTTTCAATGACTCTAGACAGCTCAGTTTATTAGTCAATCGCCATGTAGAAATACTGTAACGACATTGGTTAAAAAGAAACGACGTGGTTGTCAACTATGTAATGTCGTCTCGATAAATTGACGACGTTCAAACATGTTTTCATGTCGTCTATGTCACATCCCGGATCGGCTCCGCCGTAGCACGATATTGTCCGCTTTGGGCCCCCCCTCTCTGGCCCTCAGAGTTTTGTTTCTGGGAGCTCACGACCAACTTCCCAGTGGGTCACCCATCCTGGGATTGCTCTAGCCCCCAACTCGCTTAACTTCGGAGTTCCCATGACTCCGAAGCCAGTGAGCTCCCAAAAGGCCTCGTGCTAGATGGATGCGAGCATGTACATATAAGGCACATTAGCACCCTCTCCGTTGGTCGATATGGGATCTTACAATCCACCCCCCTTAGGGGCCCGACGTCCTCGTGGGCACACTCGCATCACACGGCAGAGTGGCTCTGATACCAAATTATCACATCCCGAATCGGCTCCGCCGTAGCACGATATTGTCCGCTTTGGGGCCCCCCCTCTCTGGCCCTCACAGTTTTGTTTTTGGGAGCTCACGACCAACTCCCAGTGGGTCACCCATCCTGGGATTGCTCTAGCCCCCAACTCGCTTAACTTCGGAGTTCCCATGACTCCGAAGCCAGTGAGC